ATAACGGCGTCAAATGGCGGCAAGACGGCCCCCGGGCGGAAACGCTGACGGCTATTAATGACATTGTCAAGGGAAAAATGAGCTGAGGTGTGTTCTGGTCCTGAACAATTTCTTGAGTTAGTGTGAATATTAAAACACATTTTCAACATAACATTAATAGTTTATTTTAAGTAAAGATAGTAAAGCTTCTGTAAACTATGTTTCAGATGTATTTTTGTTCTCCCAGTGAGCACAGTGACCTGAGAAAGTACATGAAGGACAGATGACATACTTTTAAATGAGGGACTATTTTCTTGTCCTTTATCTGAGATTCAGGCCGATTTTAAAAAAAGAAAAAAAAAGCCAGAAACCACATTTCTACCATGACAAATGCTGAGAAAGATGTATTTGATGTTATCCCCACTCCCATGTGTGTCTAAGAAACATTCCCTCTTATTTCTTATTGTCTCCTGACGGTGTTTCTTTCTCTGTGTCGTTGCCAGATCTTCTACCCCTCCAAGGATGGCACAGAAATCCCCATGTTTATCGTCCACAAGAAGGGCCTCAAGTTGGACGGCTCCCATCCAGGCTTTCTCTACGGCTACGGTGGTTTCAACATCTCCATCACGCCAAGCTACAGCGTGTCGCGGCTCATCTTTGTCCGACATCTGGGAGGAGTGCTGGCTGTTGCCAACATCCGAGGAGGGGGGGAGTACGGGGAGACCTGGCACAAAGGTGGGGGGGGAATTGTTCTCATACATCTTGATTGTGGTCTCGATGTTTTAAAGTAATACCATTGCAAACTCCTCCTTTACGCACTTTGTACTTGTCCCTTTTAGCCGGCATGTTGGCCAACAAGCAGAACTGCTTCAACGACTTCCAGTGCGCCGCTGAATATCTCGTGAAGGAGGGATACACTACTTCCTCCAAGCTGACGATCAACGGGGGCTCCAACGGGGGCCTGCTTGTAGGTATGTAGGCAGCTGCCTGAGGAACGGCTCGTGGTCTGTTTCATCATCATGAAAAACCCTGAGTGGAGACGCCAAAGATTCAAACAAATCATAAATGATTACAATGAAAGTCTTTTTGCCGAAATGGAAGAGTTGGTGTTTTGATAAAAGGTGTTTATATAAATGTAAGTCATTATTATTGTAAAAGCAAAGTGCAATGGAAACAGATTTAGCAAATAAAGGATAACGTAAATGAGGCACATGATTAGCATTCAATGAAGTTTACCTTCCTTACATTAATACATGAAACCAACAGCAATGCCATAATTCCATCCGGTTTTTAAAAACATATTTGGTACAACTTACGCTCTTTTAAGTACATTTTGTTGCGCTCTCGTCCTCTGCAATGTTTTCCAACATGTTTTCCAATGGCATCACCTACTGCTCACCTTGAGGAACAACGCACATTAAACATTTCATATCTGTAGTCAAGGACAACAAGCATTTATTTGCATTTCCATTGTCACTTTTTCTCAAAATGTAGATATCATTTGCAACATGACTGCTTGGAAACCTTGCTTTAGTGTATTGAAAGCCTTTGAAGGAAGCCTTAGTGCCCCTGTTGTGTCTGACTCTGTGTCTGACTGTTGTGTCTGACTGTGTGTCTGACTGTGTGTCTGACTGTGTGTCTGACTGTTGTGTCTGACTGTGTGTCTGACTGTGTGTCTGACTGTGTGTCTGACTGTTGTGTCTGACTGTTGTGTCTGACTGTTGTGTCTGACTGTTGTGTCTGACTGTTGTGTCTGACTGTTGTGTCTGACTGTTGTGTCTGACTGTTGTGTCTGACTGTGTGTCTGACTGTTGTGTCTGACTGTGTGTCTGACTGTTGTGTCTGACTGTTGTGTCTGACTGTGTGTCTGACTGTGTGTCTGACTCTGTGTCTGACTGTTGTGTCTGACTGTGTGTCTGACTCTGTGTCTGACTCTGTTGCCTCTCTCAGCCGCCTGTGTGAACCAGCGGCCCGAGCTGTTCGGCTGTGCCGTCGCTCAGGTGGGCGTCATGGACATGCTGAAGTTCCACAAGTTCACCATCGGACACGCCTGGACCACAGACTTCGGCTGTTCTGAAGAGAAACCGCAGTTTGACTGGCTCATGAAGTAAGTGATCAGAAACCAGGCGCTCACTCTGGGATCATATTTCACAATCTTTCAGTGGGAGGACTCTTTGGGTTGAAAACATAATCTTCAGAATATTCAATAGTTCCAATCAAATCAAGCTTTGTTTATATAGCACTTTTAATACACAAAGGTAACTTCACTTCACAAACCAAACACATAGACAATAAAATAAGAATTAAATAAAATTCAGTTAAAAGCCAAATTGAAAAAGGTGGGTCTTGAGTTTGCTCCTAAGGTATTCTTAAGAACTATTAATGTTTGTTATTTGCTTCCAACACACAAGTTATTTATATTTCCCTACATGTGAGCTAAAGTCTGAAATCTGCACTTTCCCCTTTTTCCAGATACTCCCCGCTCCATAACATCCGCATCCCAGAAGGCAACGGGGTCCAGTACCCCTCAGTGCTCCTGCTGACCGGGGACCACGACGACCGGGTGGTGCCTCTGCACTCCCTGAAGTACATCGCCACCCTGCAGCACATCGTGGGGCGCAGCAGCAAGCAGACCAACCCTCTGTTCATCCTCGTGGACACGAAGTCTGGCCACGGCGCCGGGAAGCCCACCAGCAAGGTCATCCAGGAGGTGGCAGACACCTACGCCTTCATCGCCCGCTGTCTCAACATCTCCTGGGTCAAATAACTGCCCCTCCCGTCACACCGTGTCCTTTTGTTTTGTTTCTTTATTCACTACATCTTTGGGATACTGTTCACACCAGCTGTTTACACCTGGCCAACGTTACTATACCTTTTGAGCCTGTTATAGACTCACAGGACTCATCAACTATAAACCAACATTCAGCACTCACAGCTAATGTACCCTCTCCTGCAGGCCATTTTTGTAGTCCCAACGAGAGAAAGAATGACTACATTATCAGGTTTGTAAAGCGAAGGGGGTACTTTAACGATTACAATTATCAGCCAATCAGCAGTTACAGTCATGAGGTGGAAGTGGGGGAAAAAAGTGTATTAGGTGATCATTTCAGCATCCTCTGAGCACTTCAATGTGATGCATATTATTTATTTTACATGTGTGCACAGAATAGAGGCAGTGGGATGTTAAATGCCTCCAGCATGTACAAGTATAAAGAAAATGCTTACACCGCATGTCTGCAGTACTGCAGTGAGAAACTTGTGTGTGTGTGTGTGTGTGAGTGTGTGAGCGTGTTTAAATGTCAGTCCCCCATTTTTTTCAGACTGATAATTTCTACCTCTTGACATGTGCTGATTGTTTGCCTTTTAAAGGGAACAAAACACAATGCCACAATTACAATAAACAACTTTTTAAACATTGAGTTACCGTGCCAATTTTATTTTGTAAAATTATTATTTAAAGAGCTCAATTACAAATTGACACGTCAGTCAGTGCGGAGAGAAAAGATGGATTATAATAACACATTTAAAATGGCTGTTGCATACATGACTTTAACTGCATATAAATTTCCCAACAAAAATCATATGTGACTGTAAAACAGATGATTAAAAATAACATGATTAATTATGAATAATATAGTAATCAATTAGATTTGTCATGATACAGATTTTTTTATGATCATGTTTCCTGATTGACCGAGTGGCTGCTTGAGCACTAAAATAAACAGACAGTCATGAATGGATTTTTTTTTTTAAATCAACTTTATTTACATTTCTTACTGCAATGAATTAAATCCAAAGCATTTTAATGTAACAAGTCCCGGTTTACTGAGGGCAATGGGAAGTAAGGGCGAAAGCAGCTGTAGGGTTTGGGTCTTCCACCAGGGGGCAGTCACCCTGGAAATGACAACACGTGCAGCAGGAGCAGAACATGAGGGTGGTCTGACAGGACAGAGGGCCCCATGTGAATTACTCAACATACATGTTCCGTGTTCAAGAACTTCTCTGATGTCCCACTTTCATGTTTATGGAGGGAAATAAAATGCAGTTACTTTTGAAAGACTCCATCAATTCCTCTAAAACTTTATCTTCTAAAGTCATTTCAGGATGGACATTTAATTCATCAAAAATAATAGAAGCAAAAATATTTTCGACCAACTTTTTTCATAGGCTCTGTTTATTCATTTATTTTTCATTTTAAAATGCATAACTTTCTGTTTAATTGAAAACACAAATTGAACTTTTAAATTAAGTTCAAGCCTGTAACTGCAAAAGATTTACTAAAAGTAATAATAAAATATTGTTATGGGCTAACCATTTCTTTGTGTTTGCCATGTTATTTCCTTATGTTAAGAAATGTTCTTAAAATCCAACATTTCAATCACTCAAGGGAGAACGGGCTGTTCGGCCGTGAGCTCAACAGCTGTGGAAAACCTGAGCCTAAACAGAGAATATCCATAAATTCCTACGAATAACTCACTAATACAACAAGTATTTGATATAAATATACAAGCTTTCAATACATGAACAAAATGGACACATACCCTCCAGTAAAGTTTTATAAAAGTCCTCAAATGTTGCAGTTTATTGGGAAATCAAGGCACTGAAAATGAATTAGATTACAAGCTTGTTACACCCAACTCCAAACATTTGGATGAAACTGGTAAGAGTTCATTTTAATAACTCATTCTAAATAAATCCTTTTAAGTGATTCAAGAATTAGATGAAAGTTGTCATTATAGTTTCACAATAGTCATATATTTGTAAATGTTCCAGTAAAACAAGCTTTGCAACCAAGTGCAGGGCAATAGATTATCCTGTATATTTACATTTAAATCTAAAACCTCAGCTTCTGTGAAAAAAAGCTGAAAACTAAAGCCAGAAAAAGGGCTCACTTGCATTTCTTTGTACTGAGACCTTCTTACAATAAACATTCTATACCGGAAATGCAAAATTCAACAGTGTGGTAACACAAGGTGACATACCGTACATACTGGTTTGATCACTTTCTTCTAAGTAAATAAAATATAAGTACAAAGGATAAATGGCAATCTCCCTTTTAATGATCTCAAAACCAAACAGGCCAAGTTATGCAGTCTATTTAGGCGTATGTGTGCGCGTGCGTGCACGACAGAAGAATCCACCACCAGAGTGCGCGTGACAGTGAAACCCTGCAGGCCAGCATCCTGCACACTAAAAAGGCAAACCGTATTTTACATTATTTTAACCGAAACTGCTTATAAAGCAACTGTATTTAACTTACTTAAACATTTGATACAGTACAATATAACTTTCAACACATTTCAAACGTATCACGTAATATTCTTGTCAACTTGTGTGTCTCGTGAAACTGCTGCCTAATTTCTGATTGGCTGACACATTTGAAGACGTTCTGAAATACCCAATGAGCACACACCTGTGACCACACTGGAATATTAATCCGCCAAGCGGAAACCACCACTGAGGGACTATATTCCTCGGCGGAAGATCAATACAAATACAAAAAATCCATCCTACATGTCTATATTCTTGCAAAAATAATAGTAATTTGACTTTCATTCGTAGAGTAAAAAATACTAAATAGCATCAACGTTGTATTTGTTTATTTTTTTAACTATATTTTTCTATCTTTCTATATAGCAGCATAGGGGAAAGTCCATAGGGGAACGGACACTTCACACATCGTTATCGAATGAACCAGAAATATGTTACCTCTCAATTTATTTAACTTTTTATTTTTTTATTTATGATTATTATTATTTTATTATTTATTTATGATTATTATTATGTATTTGTATTATACGTTTGAGTAAAGAAGAGTATATGTTTTTATTACATCAGCTACAAATAATAGTTCTGTGAGGATTGGATTTACATTGAAAACTGGGACTATGACATGTATTTCTCATTTAGGCGTATACAGGGAGTATAGAATATTAGTATATATAAATATATATTAAAAAAATTGTTAGATGACTTAGACTCGAGTCGGAGTAGTATAGTTGAGTCGAGAGTTGTGAGATTGACTTTCGCCAGGTTTGACGAGGGTCCAGTCCACTACTCTTATTAGCTACTCCTCTTGTTTATGCTGTTCTTAATGTTATTTAATCGCGGTAAGTAACCTAGACGACGTGGGTAAACGGCAAGGGTACTATCTATCTCGATATATATTATGTCCTATAT